GRRRMCSKKSTYACACAGCCTCACAGTCTTGCATGCATCTTACAACAAAGACGGTCACGTTCTCAAGCTTGTTTTTTTTTTTCTTTTCCTTTTGTATTTGTTTGTTATCAGTACCCTGCCAACGAGGCAAGGCGGAATCCGTAATCTGCTCTACTGTTGTTTCCTCAGATGATTGTAACACTGATGTATCCAGCCGTTTTATGGCCGAATCCATGTTTTCGKTTTTTTTTTCTTGTTTTCATTTTCTGGACTCTGACAATCTGAATCCGTGATCTGCTCGAGCTGTGTTCCCTCAGAGGATTGTAACCCTGATCACACTGGCACTCACGGGAATGTATCTTGCCATTTTCACGGGCGAATCCATGTTTGGCCGGTTTTTTTTTTTTTTTTGAGTTTCTGAAATCTGACAACCTGGCCACGGGGCTGAGATGCCCTCACTGAGGGCACACTCACACTTATACTTCCGAGAATGTATACAGCTGCAATCACGCCCAGAGCTTTGTTTATTTTTCTTGTTTTCTGAGTTTTCACGACCGCATTTTTTTTTTATTTTTTATTTTTTTGTTCTTCCCGTGAGAGTACCATAAAGAAATGGAGTGGGACCCAGGCTCGACAAAACTTAGAGCGCAGTGAAAATCAAGGTCGGCAAAAACAGGCTCGGAGGTACTGGTGGTTTAAGGAGTTTGGAGCTAATGGATGGATCGAACCCGCTATAGGTCCATGGTCTTTCCCTGTAGTGATCGTACCTAAGAAGGCTGGAGGGATTCRCATTGGCATTGATTATCGAAAGTTGAATGATATCACGATCAAAGATGTGTATCCCCTCCCCCGGATTGATGAGTTGTTGGATGCGATTGGGAGTGCTCGATTTTTCAGCAAATTTGATGTTCGCCATGGGTTTCATCATCTTCTTSTTCGTGAGGAAGATCGTCCGAAAACAGCGTTCGTGCTTTTCGAAGGTACATKGCAGTGGATTCGATGTCCGATGGGTATCTGCAATGCCCCTGCGACCTTTCAGCGGGYCATGAACATGGCTTTTCAGAATTTCGTGAGGAAGACTCGTTTGGCGCAGAGCATCATCAACTACTGCGTGATTATGTACATGGATGACATCCTGGTGTATTCGAGTTCCTACGAGGGACACGTGCAGCAYATCGAATGGGCACTGCATGCATTACGAGATGCAGGTTTCAAAGTGGCACTTGAGAAGTGTCATTTTTTCCTCACCACCATTTCCTTCCTAGGGCACATGGTGACATACAAGGGGCTCCAACCGGAACCGYAAAAAGTGGCAGCTGTCAGGGACGCGCCGGTGCCTATGACTATCACGCAAGTTGGCGCCTTTCTGGGCCTAGCCTCGTACTACCGAAGATTTATCAAGGGCTTCGCGGCGATTGCGGGACCCCTCACAAATCCGCTGCGCAAGGATCAATCGTTGATCTGGACGCCGGAATGCGATCAAGTGTTTTCCACACTCAAGGCTGCTCTCATTTCGCCTCCGGTCCTTATAAGACCAGATCCCGAAAAACCTTTTGTTCTCATCACTGACTGGCAGTCAGAGGCGATTTCGGCGATCCTTGCCCAGGTGGGACCAAGCGGACTCGAGAGTGTGGTGGAGTATGCGTCCAAATCAGTGCCCGCCTGCAAGCGCAACTACACCGCTCCAACGGGTGAATGCTATGCGGCTCTATGTGAATCAGTCACTTGCGTGCTTACCTGTACGAGTGAAGATTCACCCTGGTTATTGATCATGAGCCCCTGTTGGCTCTGAAGAARTCGAAGGATTACTCGGGCATGATCGGGCGATGGGCAATGGTGCTGCAGAGCATGGACTTTGACATTCGTCATCGAAAGCACGACAGACATGGGAATGCAGACAGACTGACACGACTGCACCGGCCTGAGAAAGTTCGGAAGAATGAGGAGGTGATTCTGTGGAACGAACCTAAACAGGAGGTTGGACCCCGGTACGGCCAAGTGGACATTTTGTCGAAGCAGTAAGTGGCACGAGGACTAATTTGTTTGTTCCACTCCCTCCACAAGTCAGTCCCATCTCTCCTCCTCTGTCATCATGACTACCCCACTCACCTCCACAACCCCTTCATCTCCTACTAATTCTGCCCCTTTCACGTTCTTCGYTTTCTTCGCCACCCTCCCCGATAAATTGTGTTATTTTTGCACGTGTATTGCACGAGTTTATGGGGTCAACTGTCATCCTTTCAAGACCGGGTTTATCGATTGGGTAGAATGTGCCACGTGTGTCAACCGTGCGCACGGGGCCTGCGTTCGATATCGGACGAGTAGCAAGGAATGGAGGTGCCCCCTGTGTAGAACGAACAAGCTCCCCACGGAGGTTCGATTCGAGGCCACCCGTACTGACGACCCCGAATACGACGAAAAATCCCGRCGAGCGAAAGTTTGGACGGATAAAATTTTATTAGCAAAATTAGCGGGATTATCATTGGGCCACCTCACCAAACACGACAAATGTAGGGCACCCGAGAGATTTTGGGACTATCGATGGATCAACGATCATTTGGAAAAGCGTAAAACTGACGGATCAGGGTCGTGGTTGACGGTTCCTCATCCATTCCAGAGATACGATTGGATCCGATCTGGTTAYGAAGAACAAGCCGCTCATTTTGCAATACGTGTCACAGAGGCAWYTGTAGACCAGAACCGATGGTTTTGGTCCAATATACGAGATGACGTCAAGTACATTGTCGCTAACTGTCTGGTCTGTGCCGCTGATCGCGCCCCTATACGGGGACCAAACACAATCGTACCAACGGAAGTAGAGCGTCCCTTCCAGCGAGTCAGTATGGACACGACAGATATTGACGTGCCACCTGGCCCAAACCGCTGTGAGTATTCTATCCTGTTAGTTTTAATTGACCATTTTTCCAAATACATCGAAGTCTATCYCTGTAAGACCCGAAAGGCCGCAGAAATAGCCACGTACATCGAACGATTCCTCTATACCCACCTTGATACGGAAGAAATTCTAACTGACAATGGATCGGAATTCAAAGGTGAGGTAAAAGAACTGCTTGCGCGAAGGGGCATCACGCTCCGACATACGGCACCCCACGTGTCCCTGTCGAACGGGTTAGCCGAGAATGCCAACCGTATGATTAAAACCTCCCTTCGCAGGAACTTAGCGGCACACGAGACGCGTCCTTGKCCCGAGATCGTATATCAGATCGTCGGGATYCACCGGGCCACCCCTCATGAGTCTACGGGGCTTACCCCCTTTCAACTTCGAACTAATAGTCTCCCCTKTGTCGATTACCGGGGTAACTCGAAAATTRCCGAAGYAGGGGGTAGAGACACGCGTGCAGCTCTCAAGGCCAAGGCCAAAAGGTACACCGAATTAATGGAAAGGGCCGTCCCGAAGCTAGCCCGAAAAAGGCRAAGGATGACCGAATTGGCCCACGGTAGGCAGGTCCGTAGCTACGAGGCCCGGAATGGAAATGCTGGGCCCCAGTACCAATATAAATTAGGGGACCTAGTGCAGGTACGTAAATGTGCACGCGATYGGAAACTCGCTCCCAAGTTCTCTGCCTGTTTTCGCGTGGTCGAACTCGGACCCAACGGCGCCAATACAGTGCGCATCGCGCCTAAGGCTAGTGCCARCCATAGCTCTGTCCCCATCGTCCGACATACCTCCTACCTCCGTCTTCTTCCTCCTTCTCATCTTCCTCCCTCTTCCTCCTCGGAAAGCGAGGAGAACGACGACGATCTAACTCTCTCTCCTCTTTCTCCCTCCTGTCCTTTGTCCTCCTCTCCCACCTCGCCATGAGTTTTATWWCGGAGCGGGTTCTTGACGCGCAGCTGTTGCAGCCACGTKGCCACATCTCAGAGATTCGGCAAGTTTGTCACCCTCGGCTYAATGCGGATCTTCGGTGTCTGATGYGATTCTTCTGTGACGAAGGTATATGTRCCGCCACCGCGTTTCGGATCGAAGGWAGTCCTTACGCAGTGGTATTCGCGGAGGTAACCGCAGTTCATCGGCGAGCGGGTCCCAGGACGAGCCACGTCACCACAGTGGCGGCATTCACAGGCGACATCAGCTCGGTCAATCTGATGTGGCATACCGTGATCTTGACCTCGTTGCGCGAGTGGACGGAGCAAGTGTCCAACGTGTGGCAGCACGTCCTCGCCCGACAAGGGTACAACATCATCCCGATCTTTACACCGGATCTAGACAATATTCGTCGATCACCGCGCGAGCGGCCAGTTGCGATCCCAACCCTCGTCCCCTTTCCACATCCCCAATGAACCACGYCGATCTCCTCGCTCCTCTCTCTATCTTTGCTCTCCCCTCTCTCTTCCCCACCTTCTGACAATCCGATCTTCACCCTTCTCTTTCCTTCTCGTTCGAGCCTCTTTTAGTCCCTCTTATCAATCCTGGAYAYTGGCGGTTGTGGCGCGAAACGTTTGAGGAGCTGTCTTTCTGTCTGGCTAGAGTACAGGWRACRTGGATGGGCACTAGCGTGCATCCCACGTGGATCGAGAATCCGGAGCTGCTGATCATACAGGCTTGGAGGACTAAYGTAGAAGGAGATCTTCTTGGCTTTCTCTTCGGATCGGTACGGCCGGGTCGACGCCACCTGATTGCGCAGGAGCTTATCGCACCGATCRTGCAATTGTCGGACGATCTCTTGCCCGACATTTATTTTCGGAGTGACAACAGTCCTGCTCCGTACATTTTCGAGCGATCATTGGACCCATACSTTCAGAGGACTGCGTGTTTGGAAAAACCTAGGGACGAGGATACGCTACCGTCGCGACAGGAGTACCTGAAGCCGTACGAGATCATCCCTCACGCCTTCTATCCGAGGGCAGAGGAAGTAGTGATCGACGACGAAGAAGAAGAAGACGAAGACGAAGAAACATCGGAGGAGGGAAGCTATAGTGAGCATAGCGAGGGCGAGCTGAGCGAAGGAGAAGAGGAGGAAGAGGAAACTGGATCTGAGTGGGAAGCCTTGCCGGAGGAAGCRACGCGCACGGGAACGGAGGCGGAAGATCCGGAAGCGGCGCGAAAGCGCGGAAAAATTGGCACCGGGAAGCGCCAGCTGGAGTTCGCCAGCCAAGCTAGCCTGCGCATCGGCAACGATCCGACCAGGGATCCACAGCCGCCGAAGCCCGAAGATGGCGACCCTGCAGCCGCCACCTCAAGTACCGCGCGACGGAGACGGAGCCGATCCCCCTCCTCCCCCAGCCCCACCCGTCCCCCAGTTCGCCCACGTACCGATGCGGGCGATAGGCCTTCGTCCTCGAACGCTGTCCCGCTGACCCCTTGATTTCCTCACCCTCGAGCAGATCCGTACCCCCGTCACCTTCCCCTCCCATCCTTTCCATCCCCATCTCTTCCGCGACTTCTATTCTACCCCTCTATTCGCCACCGTCCACCCCCACGCCTCCCTTCAATCTGCTGCCCCCACGWTCTGTTGGCATCTCCTGTTGTTCAGTGCTGCATGGGAGYGATGCAACGTGGTAGAGGTTTACTGCGTTGCCACGGGGACAATCCCCGCTTGCCGCCACTTTGAGATCTTTYGAGCGGCGCTCTTCCGCACACTTTCCTCCTTCTACCGCGACTACCTCGCTTCCCTCCCTCGCAGCGGCGATCATTTCCCCCACTTCCACCGGATCATCCGATATGAGGRGCACCCGGTGACGATGGAAGGGATGAATCGCTTCCTACCCCCACTTCCTCCCAGTCATCCCCGCGAGACCCCCTCCATGTACAGCCTCTACTGGCCTATTCCAACTAGGCGGTAGGCCCCAATCATATACCCCCCCCCCCTCTCCTCTCCTCATCGGCACGAATTAGTAAGCTTCGCGAAGATCCCGCCATCGACGATGACGTCAACCTATGCTCTGATTCGACGAGCAGCAACGAGCTGAGGTGCAGAGTGCACGGAGATCAGGCGGACCGTGATGGCGTCATCTGGACGATCTCTCTATAGGGCAGGGGGTTGCATATGACAAGGCCGCGGAGGTCTTGCCACGGATGTTGTCGCCATCTCATCCGCGGCTTAGTTACCACCCCTTGTGCTTCTTTCTGGAAGCCTAGCTGATGTGWTTGGTTCCTCATGCATCACTCTKTTCTCCCTCTTTCTCTTTCCTCTTCCGCCATGAMMTGCAATTAGGAGATCGCATAATTTTGGAACCCCCTGCRCGTCACATATGTGACGAACCACTTCCCGAACCCATGCTATCTTTCGTACCCCTGTTTATGTACCATATCAAACCCATTAAGAACCCCTTTTTGGTTTCTTGTTGTCGGATGCTGCATTTCCCTTTTCTGGAAGCTTTTTTGATTTCCGGGTTCTGTTTTTCCTTTTTGCAAATCATGAAATACATGGGAATTTACGTGCGCCTTAGCGAGCACACGGGGAATTGGGCTCGACGGTTGGGAATTCCGGGATAAGCGGAACTTAGACGTGTCCTTTTCGTATGTGTGAATGTTCTTGGTCGCGTCGGGAAAAACTCTCGGAATTTTGCGCGAATATGAATAGGCGTAAAGTTTTCCTTTCCCGCGTTGCTTTTTTGTGCGCGGATATAGTGATTTCAATTTTGAATTAGGCTGTAACTGTTTTGGTGCCTTTTTCTCTCTTTTTGTTGACGGCACTGCGTATGATGAGCTTTCTCCTCTCTGTCCCCCGCCTCGCTCCATCCCGCGCCTCCCTTCCCTTCTCCCTCCTTTTTCTCTCTCCCCGTAATTGTTTTTCCTCTCTCTCTCTCTCTTTCTCTCCCGCCTTGCTTTTTGCGCGCCCATTTCCCTTTCTTGATCATCTGAATCGTGGACCCGTCTTGCACTACTTCTCACGCCTTTTCTCTTCTCCCCCTTTGAGTCTGGTGCACGACGCCCTGTCGATCCATCGATAACTCCCGCTCGCCAATCACGTGCGCGGATCAATAGGACCTTCCTATTGCACGGCGAATCTGATTGGTTGAACCTTGAGTTTCGAGGGATCAGCATGGCGTTCGTAGAGCGCTCCTCTCAAAGTCTTCTCCTCCTGCTTCTCCTCTTACACCTCAGCCTTCCTGTCACCTTCTCCCCCTTCTATCTCCCCTGTCGCAACTATAAAACCCGCAAGCACGTCCGCAAATCTGTCTTACGTTCTTGACTCTCAAGCCAGCTTCCGGGAAGCAATGGCTAGGCAGAGTGTTTGACGCGAGTCGGAAAGTCCTGTCGGGCTAACGATAGACTGGCTGGTTGCGCGTTGGATCGCCACGACGGACTGTGGGATCTGGATGAACCGTGTTGAGTTTACGACAGCGGGGTGACGATTGCAGTGGTGGGAGTTAGCACGCGACAGCCGGGATTGTCGGGGACCGATGATCGGAGTTGAGTTGATTGGCCCGGGGCCATATTGGAATTAACGGCGAATGCACCTTTGTTGCGGATTGTTATCTTTGGTGTAAGTGTACGGCGACAACGCCGAACTTTTCTCTTTCCGGACCTTGTCATCTTCTATTTTGATTTTTTTTCCCTCGACTCTCTCTCTCTCTCTCTCTCTCTCTCTCTCTCTCTCTCTCTCTCTCTCTCTCTCTCTCTCTCTCTATTTCTTTCTCTTCCTCTTTTTGAATGATGATGCGTCCGAATTATTGTCCCTCTCTTGAATGGGAATGAGTTTGCATCCTGTTTCTGTGTAAAAGAACTTCTTCCGGAACTCTTCCATTAGTTTTCTGGGTAATCCTCCTATGCAAGGACCCTGTCTTCTTGTCTTGTGAACGGTGGATGCGTGTGTTCTATGCAGTGCGCTCTATCCTTTCATGTGCATGTCTCATTTTCGCACCTTCCACAGTGAATGCATGCATGGAGACGTGTGACTCTTTTTTATTAGAAGATTGTCGTCGGGATTTTGTCCGAGAATGCAAGAGTGTYCATATCTGTAGCTCTGAGTGCACTGCGCATGCCATCTGCCTTATGCTGTCCGGCATCAGTAGCCGACCCATGAGGCGGCCTCGAGAAACAAGGCGCCAGGAATCAACATCGCACTGGCTAACTAAAGTTGAGCCGCGATCGGTCCTGTCAGTTGCATGCATGATTAAACTGGCGAGTATTTTTTTCCTTTCTTTGGCAGAAAAGGATTGATTGAGGATTATTTCCTCCTCGTGATTGATATGTGGACTGACAAGTACCCTCCGATCGGGCGTCGGCCTCCCGTACCTCCCGTACCCACACGACCTTTTCCCTACAACGAGGAAAGGACATGTGTATACGAGTGGGACGTACGAGAAGCTGTCGCGCAGATCGGCGGGCGATACTACTTCCTCCCAGCAAACCGTTGTTCAGGCTGGGTTTGTTATTATCGACACACACTTCCCACCCTACTCAATATTGCTCCCCTTTAACGAACTAATCGTTATCCCGTGGACGGCCGTGGTGCCCCATTGGCCTCGAACCGTGTGCACAGAGTGCCAGCGCTTCGATCGCTACGAAGCGAAGGGCTTCCACTACCGAATACGGAGTGAGGACAAGCACAAGGAGAGAGCCATGCGTCTGCGACCCTCCTCGTCAGACTCAGAACTGACCAACGAACGACGACGGGACTTGATCCGAAAATGGGACACGCGAAGCGTGCCGAAGCCCTTCCGCTCTAAACAACGGGCCGTAGCACGGTGGGAAGCCTGACAATACTTCCTAGATTGAATTTGGATTTTACTCTCTCCGCGCCTTGTCCGCGCGCGCAATTTGCATGTATCTGGTCTATCGTTGAGACCAGATACCAAAAAAAAATAAAATAAAAAAATAAAAAATTATTTTTTTTATTTTTTTTATTTTTTATCTGGTCTCAACCATAGACCGGATTTTGACAAAAAAAGTCAGTTTTGATTTCGTTCAAAAAATATAATATGTCCGTTTTGACGAATGGCTGTTCTCCGAACGAAAGACAGCATGGGTTGTGAGGTTGGTATCGGAGCCGACACGTGTCGGTTCTGATGATAGTAAGTCGAACTGGCGAGAGGTAGGAGAGACCCTCAACTAACTCGTCGGGATTGCCCAGTAACCAGGTCTTAGTCTAGTGCGGCTGCACCAGCAATACCAATGGTGGACGGTACAAGGGTGATCATTAGTATCCCTGCCCCCTTCCCCTTCTTCCCTAACCATACTCATCCCTAGGGTTGGCTGGAAGCTGTCGAAGCTCAGAACTACAGCGCAGCCGACCTCCCCCGCCTTCTGACATTGCTACTTCGCAACACATCCCGTGACTGGTTTAGGAAACATGCGTGGGTAGATTGGGCTACCTTCACGCAAGCCTTTTTGGCTCGATTCGATACAGTTAGTGAAGATACGTCCTGATACGTACTCAAAAATCGACCCCAAGGACCAGGGAAATTGTTGCCCAATTTTGTAGATCAGTTTCAAACCACGTTGGACAAATCCGGGCGGGATGAGAAATCCGCTCGAGATTTGTTCATCGACCACCTACGAAGCTCGACACTGAAAGGGAAATTACAGAAAAAGGTTCCGCCGAAAAGGCACCAGTTATCGACTATCATCTATGAATCCCCCACGGCCGCGGTCACCACGGTCATGACCGCGGACTGCGGTCGCGACCGCGGGCCCGCGGTCATGACCGCGGTCCGCGGTCATGAAAAAAAAAAAAAAAAAAAAAAAAAAAAAAAAA